AATGACTGTAAATGGCAGTAAACAACAAATGTGATATATTGACCAAGGGACGGGTATTAATTCAAGCGTTATCTTTGTCTTCAGGAATCAAGATGCACCAGCAAGTGATTGGCATGGTTTTTCATCCTTCCTCTGCCATTGCAGTGGGGTCTGTGTGAACTGCCTTCTTCTCACAAATACAGGGGTTTCGCTCGTCACAAAAATCGGACTTGGCTCCTCTATTGAGGAAAAGTACACAGTGCTGTAGAGTACCATGTTGGGTGACCGTAAACCTAGGATGGAAATGCACAGTTTACTGTCTGCCAGTGACATGTACGAATCCCCAGTAGAGGTACTCATTGTGCGGTTAGTAGGGCAGCAGGTGAGAGAGATGGGCACAATTTCTAAAACAATTTGTGAATTAATCTAATGTTCATGAAAGTCAGGAGGAAAAAGCATTGGAAAAAAACTAGGCCAGGGATAGACAGCTTCCTATCACAGCTCTGCCAATGTCCCTGACTCCGGAGCTGCAGCACACCCTGCTATTCCAGCCCAGGGCTCCCCCGCCCCACAACTTTACCAATGCACCTCATCCCCCTCTCTTGCATAACAGAGATCTCATTTTCATCCAGTTGTCCCGTAGGAATAATAAGACGAGGAAAAATACTAAATGTTATATAGTGAAGAGGGGCAGGCATGGCAGGGGTGGCGATGAATGAACCTAATGAATGAAACAAATTGTGCCTCCTCAAATCTGTGTGTGTGTGTGGAGGAGCCCTGGATAAAAACTGTCCACCTGAGGCACTATCTCCCCAATGCTTCACAGGGGCCGGGCAGCTGCATGTATCCCCTATGCTTGGCTGTGGCATAAATACCTGCTGCTTGTAGAACATATGTAGCACGCCTAAACAGAAGGGAACAGTTTCTCTCACTGAGAATCACTTACAGGTCACTGGTGAAAGCTGTGTCGTCCCCCCACACCCAGGACTCATTGTCTGTCTTACGAGATAGTCCAATCCAGTGGTAAGTAAATGTCACTGACTTTATGAAATCCTGTATGGGAACACAACCAAATCATTTAACCCCAATCCATGCTATCTGACCATTTTATCACTGTATGGCTATCAGGGAATGGAATGTGACTGAGGAGTCCTGAACAGAGTCCATGTGCTGAGCTTCCTGCCCTGCCCATAACTGTCCCTGAAGAGTTAGATTTAGTTTTTTTCTCCCAGTTAATAGACCCACAGATTTTATAGATTTTTTATAAATTTTGTTACAACTGATCTCTTCTCTCCCTTTAGGGTCACTCCACAGGCCAGCCACCATCCTTCCAACCGGGGATCCTGGATGAGGTTCCCTGCAGGCCCTGTCATTACTGCTCCTTAGTGAGGTCCAGGAGTTGTGGCGGGATGTGAAGCACCTTTACCCTTTGGTGCCAATGGACCTTCCCACAGGCTGCCTCTGCTAGTTTGGGGTCTAATCCACAGCATGCTGAAGTCAATACATGTCTTTCCATTGATTGCAGATGTGTTTGGCTCCAGGATTAGTTGGGATTAGGATTTCTTTTTGTACCTTTTAAACTAGTGCACAAAATCTTGTTGTGTACACTGTATGAGACAGGTTTCAGAGTAGCAGCTGTGTTAGTCTGTATTTGCAAAAAGAAAAGGAGTACTTGTGGCACCTTAGAGACCAACCAACAAATAAATTGGTTAGTCTCTAAGGTGCCACAAGTACTCCTTTTCTTTGTGTGAGACAGTTATATTTGGGGGTAACTCAAGGAATCACCTTCCTAAGCACCTCAAATCCTTGAGTTGGCCCATTGCACACTGCAGTGATCATGGTAGACAGGAATCTATACTGGTTGGGGAATAGGGCTGTAGGGAAAAAATGTTTTGCAGTCCTGACCAAAAATATGGAGGTTGGTTCTGGAAAATGAAGGGTAAGAGATTACCAGTTCTTCCTTGTTTTCAATCTTAAGAAGGTTGGAGCCCGAAGAAAGGCAATAATCTTTACTCTCTTGCCAAGTTTTCCATGTTGTAGGAAAGTGATAACAATAGTCTCCATGCTGCCTCCAGTTCTCTGGGCAAGGGCTGAATTTACTTCCTTGAAAAGAAAACACATTCATAGCCTCATCAGATATCTGGCTGATGGGTGTGATGCAATCTGATATTGTTTGATGTCATTTACTGATTTGTATATGTTGCCCTACTGCTCTCCATTGGATAGAAAGCAACATATTCAAGAGTTCGGTTTTCTCCCTAGTTGATGCCTCTAAAAAGGATATAATCCCATCTCAAGTGATAGAGGCCTGTGCTATGGAAGCTGAAAGGTATCATTTCTATTGCAGATAGTGGAAGTATGTAGTTTAGCTCCTGACTGGTGGCTTGCACATATATGGATGTAGATTTGTTATGATCCGATCACCACCCAAACCACCCCATTATTCACATGAGCTATTGCTGGCCTGCTCATTCTGTACCTCTCACAGCACCAAGAGTGATGGCTATAGCTGTAGGGCTGGCCAAGCTGCACTGTCTTTTGTATCTACAAACTTATGGTTACAGTGTTTAGTTTGGGAATTCTCCCTGATTTACGTCAGGCCAAATCACATTTGGTTTTCATGTCCCATCAGCGCCCCTGTAAGTGAAGTATTAGAGATGTTAGGCAGCTTATGTTGTTGTACTCTAGGGCTTTTATTATTTAAAGCAACTTCTCTTTTGCAGTTCTTCTCATGCTGTGGTGTTTCAGGAGGCTATATGCTGATGTGGTTATTCTAAATACATTTCTTTACTTTATTTTGTAATCGTTTGTTTCCCCTCTCACTCCTCTAAGTTCTCCTGCACTTACTGCTTTCCTACGTCAGCCTAGAGCTGCTGAATTCAATTAACAGGAATCCCATCGGTTCTTGCTTGAGTTACTGAAGAAGCAATAAGTGCATAAGCAACAGGTGAGCTCCATTTCTGTTCATTTCAGCCACATGTACTCAGCAAAACTTGTATTTTTAGATCTCCCTACATTGCTCATTCAGCTTGTTTAGTTGGTTTCATTTGGCTCTGTTACTGAGAACCTTCATGCTGCAATATTATGGGATAATTATATGCAATTTATTTATGCTTTTGTCTTCAGGAAGTTGAACAATATGGACAGCTGTCTTTGCATACAGGCTTGTTTATCAGCCTGAGATAGAATTTTGGGGTTGACTTTTTGATACTCTTATATCTTATACTAATATGTGTGAACAAAGAACAAAAGACACTGTGTTTGTTGCTTCTCCCTAGCCAGACGGGTTTGTTAATACAATGGGAGGAGATAAGGGATAGAGCAGTTAAAGTGTTACAGGGTATGGGGGAGTGTAATATATACGCATACACTGGAAGACTGCCTGGCTCTTCTCTCAAGGCAAGGTCAAGCAACCAATCAGAAGGGGCAAGGAGGAATGGGGGGAAGGCATAAGAAACACTAAAAGCCAAAGAAAACCCTCGCCTTGGCCAGAGCATAACCTCACTCCTTACCCCTCCCATGGGATACAAAAGAGGTGGGACGAAGACCCAAACTCGCAACCCTCCCAAATGGAACATGACCATAAATTGTAAGGGGTGTGATAGGGGCATGCACTGCAGGTATATTTGGGCCTGCTAAAGAGGAGGAGATGGGAATTAGGAATGGGAGGGGGGAACGGGGACACAGGCAAGGCTCTGCAGCATCAGAGCTGGGAAGGGAACACTGGGAAACAGACTCTGCCAGCGTGTAGAGGTATGGATATGCTTGTTTGGAACAAACCCCAATAAACATCGAATTGCCTGCACTTCGGGCTTCTGGTCTTCTGCTTTCTGTCTGTGTGACAAGAACCTTGGGAGAGGGTGAAGGGAAAGCCCTCTAACAAGCTGATCCAACCAAAATATTTACCTCCGGTTTCCTTGTGTGATTCTTGACCGGGAGTTTTAGTCTGTTGCTGCTGATATGCATTTCCCAGCTGGCCAAAATTTTCTGATGGATGGGAGTCCTGGAAAACTTGCATTTGCAATTATATTAATACATTACACCACTTAAAATGAAAAATCAAGTTTGCATTTTAAGGAAACACAAATAGCATCATGGCATTACTCTTTGTTCTTGTAAAATTAATGTTTAACTGGGGTTGCTTGCTTGTGTGTTTAATAACATTACTTTTTTTGCTAAAGAAGAGTTTTGAAATTTGATTCTTTGAACATGTATGGAAGAACTTACCTGTGAATTTCCTCTGAACAATAATCCCTGTATAGAAGAAGGTGCATATTCTACAGTAAGAATAGGAAAGTAAAGCCTAACATCTAGGCTCATAAGAATAAAATATGGGACCAAATCAAAATGCACCCTAAATCAGGGGATGGCTGGAGGAGAGGGGTTATGTACAAGCCACTGCATCTGCTCTTCTGCATTACATCAGTTTTACATCAGTGTTACACAGTGGACTGACAATGGCATAAAACTGGATTAATGCAGGAGTGTATTAGTCCTCCCGTGTCTTTTCTGCAATTACTTACACTTGGCAATCAAGGCCACCACTGCTCCTAGTGATACCAGGTAGAGGACCCCCAGAATCACTGCAATGATCCACCAGGGAGAAGATGGAGTAGGAGAATCTAAAAAGAATGAACATAAAGATGGGGAAAGTGTGCCACTTTTCTGAGTATCTGGCATCAGATTACAGTTTATCTGAGCAACACCCAGGTCCCAAGCTATCCACCAGAGCAGTCTGAAAACCAGCCCCTCTATAACTGCCATTGCAGGTGCTTGTGCTCATGGGTACTGTTCATGACTGCCAGAGCTGTGAGCCTCTTTCTCAAATCTCAGAGACCATCAACCTGATTGGTTGTAGATGTTGTTATTGTCTTAGTAGCACAGCATATGGCAACATAACAAATGAACATTCTAACTTTACTATTCCAAAAATCTAGTGTCGGTTTCCTGGGATAGGGGCAGAGGTTTGACCATGGACAGTAGAACAGAAAATATGTTACCACCTAGTTAACATACAATACCTTTGCTCTCAGAGTTCCCAGGTCTTTGTCTCCTCTGCTGCTCAGAAGTGTGACAGTTCACTGCTGTGTAAGTCACTTCCTGCTTGCTCATTTCTAGAGGATGGTGAGTGTGAAAATTGTAGACTTTTCTTCAGTGGCCTATGATAGATGATGGCATTTGATAAAAAACCAATGGATCTAGAAATATCAGGTAAAAAATAACAGGATATTGCAGTGATTGGTTTTAATTTACTGCATTACAATAGTCTGTAGTAAGAGGAACAGAAATGCAGAATTAAATGGCATACTGAGTTCAGTACATGCATCCTATTATCTTTGTCTATTATTTGCCCTCTATTTACCTATATAATGACAATATATTCTGGTTACCTCTGAGTCTCAGAAAACTGGATATTCAAATGGATCAACCTAGACCACCTTTAATACTATTCACAGTGGTTTAGATTGCAAACACTTCAGGGCTGGGACTGTCTCTCACTGGGTGTTCACACAGTGTCTAGCACAATGGCACCCATAGCTTGTATGTTGCCTCTAAGCTCTCCTGTAATACAAATATTAAATAGACATAATGATTGTAAATCTAGTATTTTGCTCTCCAAAGTGCTACCCATCAGCAGAAGAAGTGAGAGGCTATTGTTACTAGTTAGATTCAAGCTTTAAGAGGCTTGAAGGAGACAGTCAAAAGGATACTGGATAAAATAATTGGTGCTGGAAACTCCATTGCATGAGTCTGTTTAACGTGGAATGTAACAAAATTTACTTTCGGGGAGCAATCCAGTAGTCTGAGGGATGTGTTTATGTGTGCAAGGGATAATGGTCAAGATAGCCTTGTCCCATAGGTCTTTTCTCATTTCTGTATTTCAGTAAAGTTAATTAATGATAATCAGTCATATAAAAGCATCACCTGTATTGTCTGTCTCTAAAAGATTCCATGCAGTGTTCTTGTAGTCGTGTTGGTCCCAGGATATTAGAGAGACAAGCTGGGAGAGGTAATAATTTTTATTGGGCCAACTTCCATTGATGAGAGAGACAAGCGCACTTGCACAGAGCTCTTCTTCAGGTCAGAAGAGCTCAGTGTAAGCTTGAAAGCTTGTCTCTCTCACCAACAAAAGCTGGTCCAATAAAAGACCTCATTCATATTTGTTCTCTAAAAGATACTGACTAATATATAGAAAAAAAGGGAAAATTTTCAACTCCTGTTGTCTATTGCACTTAGACCAAGAATTTCTGGCCTTTTTAGTGATATTAGTTATAGGTCGGTATTCTTTTTTCTTTTGCATAATGTGTTCCTTTTCACCAATGCAGACCAAGTCACTATTCAGAGATCCATATAATGCCAGTACAGTTCTGTTCTGCTTGCTCCTACAATTTGCTGAGTAACTTTTTTTATATTGCTGATTACCACTGGTATTAATAGAATTTGAGGTCCTTCAATGTTTTGCAGTATCAGGACTCATCCTTTCCATTTTTAAATATCTCAAGTGATTGTGTTCTCAGCAACACCTTCAGAAAGCTATTGCACAGTCACTCCCTGTACTGTTTCTAGTATCCAGCTTAAATTTTATTTTTCTTAATTCTATACCATTATTCCATATTATATTTGGAATTATCTGAATCAATCTCTTCCTCTGTCCTTTGTGTTTACATCTCTCAAATATTTGTAGTCTGTGCCAAGCTCTCTAAACTGCCCTCTTCTTTCATCACTAGTTAGCAACGTTAGCCTATACCTGTTCCCTTCTTTTCATTTTACCTCATCCCTCATTAGACAATCACTCTAGCCTTTTACTCACTAGTGTTTCCCTTCTCTGAATAACGTCAGATTTAATACATATGGTGAGTATGGAGGTGTTCAGAACAGAATGCACTATTCTGTGTGTGGCACCCTGCTCTGTGACAAGCTCTTTTCTGCTTACACAAATCTAAATTAGCTATTGGCTGCTATATCATTCATTTCACCCAGTATGTCTGTTAGCATCGTTGATTTCCAAATGTCTTAGGGCTGAATGCTCAAAAGGATGTTTTGATGCTCAGTGTCACAACTCCTACCTTTTATGTGCCTGAAAAAATCACTGTGATACACAAAGCCTGAGTTATAGTGCCTGGATCTCTATAGAATGAATGGAGAGAGGAGCCTTAGACTGTGATGCACCAAAGCCACCATGCTAGGCAGAGAGCTGCCTCAGTTAGCCAATGGGAGATGCTGACAAGAGGAGTGCGTGCTAAGCCCCAGCCTCTCAGAGTTTGGTGCCTTATGCCACTTTAGCAAGAAGGCAGGGGGATTAGGACTTCCCTCATAACCATACATGAGCACAAGGGGAAGATCCCTGTTCAAATCCTGTCACTCAGAGGAGCGCTCTAACCACTGGGCTATGGCATCGTCTGATGCGGGGCTTCTTCCATCTCTCCTCTTGACGCTGTTTCACTCTGGATAAATAATGAGCATTGCAGTAGGGTGCCCATGTCTCTGAATGCCCTAACCACCAGGATATAGAGCCATCATGACTCTGTTCTCTCTCTTTTTCTCTGTCTCTTAAAGGCTCATTTGGGCCAGAGAAATAGAGAGACCAAGAGGGAGAACACAAACATGAGAATGATTGTATAGCTTTGTGGTTAGAACATTCAGAAATGTGGGATTCCTGGATCCAGTCCCTGGCTCCAATGACTCTGTAAATATTCATCCAGAGTGCAACAGCTTCAACAGGAGAGCCTGAGTGAGCCCCACATCTAAATGTCCTGTAGTCCAATTGTTAAAGCAAGCTCCTGAGAGTTGGCAGGTCCCAGTTCAAACCTCTGTGCTACCTGAGATGGAGGCGGGAGGTGGGGGCTTGAACTGGGAGTCTCCACCATCCCAGGTGGGTACACTCAGATGCTGGAACAATTTGTATAGTGGGGGTCCTGAGAGCCATTGAACCAAACTGTAAATCCTAATGGAAATCACTTCAAACCAGGGGCGTGGCAGCACCCTCACCCCCTAGTTCCAGTACCTATGAGTACTCTTACCACTGGGTTAAAATTCATGAGAAGTCATCCTCGTTCCCCTACACCCTCACCCCAGCTGTTCTGTGTGGCGTTAGGCACACCATAACACACCTAGAAGATCAGGCCCTGAAGATGAATGCCTGTCTCCCCCCGGGTTTGTGAATCACTGTGGAGCTTAGGCAAGCGATAGGTACCCAGGGACTGACAGGGAGCCAGCAGTGTGCATGCCCAAAGGCACAAATATAGGTGCCTAGGAAACTTTTATTGCAAAACTATAATTGCTGAGTGAGTTTAGGTGCCTACAGGAGTAGGCAGGGGCATTTGTGCATTGCAGTGGAGCCAAAATTTACCACATCCGGAGATTTAATATTTCATTATTGTGTTATTTACAAATTAAGAACAAATATATGAGGTAAACCCAGACACAACAAAGTCCTTTGTGATACCCCACTGATCACCTTCTTCACAAGTTCATATTATTGTCTTTTATCTTTCCCCTTTGGTGACGCCTTCAACAGTTTTCAGGACAAATGATTCCACTTCAAACCAAGCTAATGTGAACTCTTTTCTCAAGTATGTTTTCTTGAGATACTATATCAAATGCTTTCAACTATATATATCCCATCTACCACCTTTTGAGTCTAATGTTGAACTTGTAGCTTTTGATTTTCATAGTAAAAATAACTAGAAATGGCATACAAATCCAGAATTTTAGATCAGACTTTTCTCTACTTTATATCTAATGCATGTTACTTCAAGGAGGAGTAGATCACTGAATTGTAAACGGAGAACTATATGTCACCTGGATAGTCTCACCAGTCAGTCTTTAAACACACCATCCCTACTGCTTGTACTGAACTATAACAAAAGAAAAAAATGAAATCAAAGTTACACATCTATATAATATCTTTCATGGTAAACACTTTCACTCATTTCTTGAATTAGTAAACACAAGTGAATGTTACCTACATGTATGTTCTATTCTAATAACAATAAACCCAGAAGCATTTGGCCTGATATCTTTTTTTTTTTTGGTACCTGTAGTTGTTTGGGAAGACGCAGGAGAGCTGGAAAAGACTTTTCCGTTCTGTCTGATCTGATCCTCTGTATATGAATATCCAGGAAGTAAATATCTGTCCCTCTGGCTGTCCTGACAGAAGATGGAGAATGCAAGCCAAAAGAGGAAGTTTTAGTTACTTTATGATGTTCTGTCTGAAACCGCACAGGAAGTTCCATGGCTGCTAATTTGAGAAGACCTCCCCCAGTCCAAAGTGCTCAGAATAAAGGGGCTTGCCTCCTGAGTTACAGTGATGTGACTTGGCTCATGGTGTTAAATTCAAAGTTAATTTACAGCTTTTTAAATGCTGAAGCTAGGAAGCAACAGTATCTATGACACACACAGTAGTTAGGCCAAACAATGTGTTACACTTTGTGCTCCTAGGCTCTCAGTCTCTTGGAACAGTCTCCACTAGGGAAATACTTGAAGCCCCAGACTTCTGGACATTTAAAGTGACAGGATAGCACTAGGAAAGTGCAACAGGGAAACATCCTTCCTTGCCCCCTGGGATATAGGCTGAAGATTCAAGATTGTCTCATTTCTAACTTCTCCGACTATCAGATCACCAGCCTCAGCACAGGTGTGCCAGCAGCCCCAGCAAAACATCACCGTACCAGTAGGGCCAGCATGAACCCCATCATCATTTTCAGGCTTCTTTGCCCAGATCATGTGACACCAGAGTCAAGGAGAATGGGAACAAAGAGAAGAGAGTCAGCCTCTGAGGCAGATCAATGGGCAGTTTCAGGGTCGTGGTGCCTAAGGCTATGTCTACACTATGAGCTGGGGTGTGAGTGTAGCCATGGTAGCATGGAGAGTGGCAGCAGAGGCATGGCTGAGCCGTGCCAAGTACACATCCATCTGAAATACCAGCACGAGTCCATACCAGCGGGTATGTACTCAGCACAGCTAAGCCATCCCTCCACTGCTGCTATCCTTGCTACTGCAGCAATACTGCTATGTATATTTGTGCTAGGTCGATGAGTGCCATTGCGAGTATGTGTCAAAAGCTTTGCTAAAGTCAAGGAACAACACATCCACTGCTTTCCCTTCATCCACAGAACCAGTTATCTCGTCATAGAAGGCAATTAGATTAGTCAGGCATGACTTGCCCTT